TAGTAGGCACTGAAGAGAGAGTTGAAGAGAACTTCCTTGATCCTGCGGTTGAAATCTGCTTTTAGGCACTCCACCTCATTGCGGATGAGATCTGGGGAGAGGGGGCAGCTGTGGGTGGGGATAGACGTAGGATTATTGAACTGTTCTCTCAGGGAGTCCCACAGAAGCGAGAGAAAATCTTTGGGTTTGACCAGGCTGCTGACAGCTGAAGCCCCATCATCTACCATCTGGTCCTGTACCAAGTAACCACAGTCTGCAGGTAGGGGCTGTGCTCTGCTGTCCTGGTGGAAGCAGCACAGAGGAACGTAGACACCAAACCTGCAGGGAAAGAAAGAAAAAGAGGGGCTGAAATGACCACCAACCCAACATGAAGCAAGGGGCACCTTCTCACCAGATGTTGGCCCTTATGAGAGGGACACCACAAAGGAACCCTCACTCTAGAAGCTAGTTGCCAACTCCTCACAAAGAGGCTAGGGGAGATGAGACAACTCCCGTGAGACATCTGGGCAGAGAAGCTTCTTTAAATCCCACTGTGGAACCAGTGATCTCAGTACCTCAGTCTTCAGTCACAGTAAAGGTCCCTCATGCAAACAGCACACTGCAGGTGATTTGCTTCATCAGCTCAGCACTACCTTCTCACATCAACCCCTGACTATTCCTACTTCCCCTTTAATCATAGGATGAGGACACTTTTGGCTGTATGTCCTTTGGGGGCAGATTACAGCCAACAGCTCTACTTCCCATGGTGGCTCATGCCACTCCCGAGCGATATGCTAACCTCCGCCCTCAAGGTACAAGGTGGTGTCACTCACGGGTAGCCCAGGAAGAGAAGGTTGAGAACAGAATGGCTGCGGAAGAGGTTGACCAAAGTCCAGCAGAGCACCCATCCACAGAAGGTGAGCAGCACCAGGCGCACCATGTAGTGAATCACTGATGTCGCACCCACCTGAGAGGCCTGCAAATGCAGAAGAAACACTCAGCAGCCCTGTAACACTAGTGCTAGAACATGAGCACAGGGGTGCTTGTGGAGGAGAAGGAGAGGGGTGCTGGGAGGCACTGTAAGAGGGATGGCTGCCCTCATCCTCCCAGAAGTAGGAAACTGACTCTCTTACAAAGGTGAATGCTTTTGATTTTATTCATGATTGGTAGACTACAAAAGATTCAAATCAAGCACAAGTTGTCAGGCATGACTAAAGTATTTTTTTTTTAAAAAATTCAGAGCTGCAAAGTAGAAAATATTTTTGCTCAAGTCCCTTATTGCTCTGATGACCATCCAGGATAGCCTGAAACATATTTCCTCTTCGTCTTTCCTTTAGAAGGATCAGGCTCAGCATTCATTTTCCTAAAGAACTGGAATGTCACAGTTCTCAGCTGAGGGAAGAGAAGATGGTACACACTGGCAATCCCAAGACTAGATTTCCACCATTCATCTCTACTGGATGTACAGGCTGCAGTCTAGTGAGGAAGCACCACCTTCAAAAGGACAGCAAGAAAGCTTGTTCCAGTCTCCAGAAGAGAGAAGGCAACTGAACTGTGAAAAGATTCTTAGGGGTTAGAGCCAATAGATCAGATGTGCAAGAACTTGTATGGAAGGTTTCAATGCAGAAATTTCAGGCTATGGGAAGTTTTATGGAGGATGTGAGCATAAATGAAAATGGCAGGAATCGGAGATGAAAAGAGAACTTCAGAAATCCCATCTTCTTCATTCACCTATTCAACAGGACATTCTGTTCCTTTATTTATTTATTTTTAAACTTACTGCTTAGTTGCTTAGTCTGGAGTTGTATTAACCATTTCAATGGACAGAACTTCCATTTTCCGCAAAATGACTTTTCTCAAACATATATTTGACCTGGTTCTGCTCTCACAAACACAGAGAGGGTCTCAAACTCTAAGGTGACATGACCAGGGTCTCAGAATTATTGAGTACTCAGGACTTTGAAAAGCAGTTCTACCAGCTATTCCTATTTCACTTTAGTGTACTCAGATGTCCTCCTCCTGACCTTTCCCCTCTAATCTCCTGTTCATTCTTCCAGTCTTGTCTAACCTCCCTATTTGCCTTTCTGCTCCCTGAGTTGCAATTCTCTCGGCCACTTCTCTGGCATGAGATAGTGAGGTACAGTATTGTGCCTGCACAGATAAAGCAGTAAGTAGGACCATTTCATCTCCTCCTAGCTGCAGAGGCAACAGAGCTACACAATACTGCAGGACATGAATGAGCTTAAGGAGAAAACTCCAAGGCAGAATGGCATCCCCAAAATTTTAGTCCTTCACACCCAGACTTGTTCTGGGGGAAGAAATTCTGGGGGAAGAAACCCTCCAGCTATCCAACTTGCCAAACTTTCTTGGGCCACAGATGGTCATGCTCTGCAGTCAGTACTAGAAGCAGGAGAAGGAACAGTGGGAATGTTACCTCAGAGATGAGGGCCCACACCAGCCTCCGCGCCAGCATCACTGTGATGAACGCCGCCAGGTGGTAGTCAATGAGGTGAAAATTCTGGAGGAGGAAAAAAGAAAAGGTCTTCACCAGGGGAAGGGGCTCTGAAACCACCCAGCTGAGGTGGGACTGGAAAGCTAGCTTCTGAGAGAACATTAGGACCTTGTGTAAGCATTCCTCAGGTCTCTCTATTAGGGATGAGAGAGAAGGGAGTAACACAGGAATGTCTCCAGAAGATCTTCCCCATGTGGGGGTTCCTTCCCATGGAGAGATTTCCACTGAAAACAAACCCACAACCCACCCTTCAGGCAGGTATTTTTGGGGTCAAAGGGACATCTAGGACCAGGTTGCTACTATGGAGAACAGCTTGCAAGTTCTCCCAGGAAAAGCCCCTGAGCAACCAGTGCAAGGGCAGCCAAAAAGGAGTCCACAGTGAGCACACCAGCTCACTTTACCTCTTGGTCTCAGAAATGGTCTGTAGTGACCAATGCTCCCTGATAATCAAGGTGTTCTGTGAAATGTCTTCTTCACAGGCCATAGATCTGTATTAGACGTTTAATGTTGGCTCTGGCTGCACCAAATTAGATAAAGCTCCTGGACCCCTTACGATTTTTCAGTAAAGCCACCTAATGTGTTCTGGCTAGAACAGTTAGGAGAATCTGAATACTACTGTCTGGGACTTCAAGGACATTTTGGGTAAATGAGAATGCTTGACTTCTGATGGGAACAAACATATGACCGCTAAATCTTTTCAGGTAGGGAGCCTACACCAGAATGCTTTTTCTTCAAAGAAAGCTGTGTCCAGCATCACATCACTGAACTTGAAACGAGTAGCTGGATAACTGGAACACTAGCACCACCTGTTGGTATAGTTAACTAAGGAACCACCTCATGCTTCCAAGCAGCAAGGGCACAATATAAACTGAAGAACCACTTCAGATGCTAGCTTCACTCACATAAAGTTTGCTGACTCAGGTACACGTCACTGCCATGTTGTGCAGCTTATTGGGCCAGGAAGAAGACTGAAACCAAGGAGACCAGAAGATCTACATATGCCACGGATCCAACCCCCTCCCCAACTCCTCTGCTGCTGACCTGCTGTGAGATCCTAATGAAAACCTCCATCATCTCCCTTCTCTCAGGCTTCATTGTTTTTACTGGGAAGGTGCACCCAAAGCAGGCTCCTGGAGTCTCAACTTCATTTCAAACCCTAGGGGCTAGCTAGGCCATGCAAGTACCTGCAAGAAATTTCCCCTGAAGGGGCCCTGCTGACACCTCTCTGTTTCTCTCTCTCACCTTCCATGTATTTTCTCCCCTGTAAAATGGGGGATGATACAGCCCTTGCTGATGCAGGTGCATGTGAACTCCCCTTCACCCTCTTAATGTCAAATGCTTAATGATTCCTGGACTGAAGAAGGATGGAAAGAAGCTGTGGAATGACAAAGCATGAGTGATGGCATTTGCTCAGAAACTCACCAGTGAGGTGCAGGAAGCAGGGTGATTGTATGGGTACCACCAGACAGTCTTGTAGATGTTGATGTACTGAATGAAGAGGGCTACAAGTAGGTAGATGAAGAACAGGAATTCAAAGAGAAGGCTCCCATCCAATGGTAGTTCAGGGATCCGGCAGTGACGTACAGGCTCTGGTGTAATCAGCGCTGTGATTGGAGGTGCAGAGAGGCTGATGGCGCTGCCATTCCTGAAGCAGATAGGTATCACTCATTTGGTAAACATTCTACATCATCTCTACCATTTTCCAGGACAGGGAGTGCTTGGGGTTCTGAATTTGAAACTAGCCATTGCTAGAGGAGAGATAGCAGCAGTCTTGCATTCGTACTTCTGGCACAAGACTGGTGGTGAGCTTCATCATCTTAACTTGGACAAAACCCTTATCCACCATTTTCTCTAGACAACAGATTGGTCTGCCAGAGGTGCTCAGCAATATCTCAGTGAACTTGCAGATGGAGGAACAGAGGTACAGAGTGAGGAAGCAACTCCAAGCAAAAATCACTGAGGACTCTGTGTCAGACTGAGCGCTTAATGTTGGCTTCTTCCACCCATCAGTAGGACATTACAGTAGAACCCAGCCTCCTTCTCCATTATTGCAAAATGCCCTTTATCTCTCTGCTCACAGCTCCTCTCTTGAAAAGAGGTAACTAAAAATGGAAAGAGGAGTTCAGCCAACTGGGGCTGACCTCTCAACTGTTCTCATACTTCCTTCTTTCCTAGCCTTCAGAGGCGGCTAGGGCAACTAAAAGCTCCAGCAGACTAAACTGATGGAGGAAGCTCAGACATAAACCATGCTGCATCTGACTGAACCCAGGATAAACGATGTTCCCCCAGGACCCTGGGCCACTGACTTCAGGGTCTCAACACAGTCACTTGTTCCTCAAGAATCTAGGACTCTGCCATCCGTCCATCTGTCCCAAACAGAGAAGTCTTTAAAGGCCAAAGCTAAATGGCTTGGACCTCTCTACTCTGTAAGCAGGAACCTGTACCAAGTAGATCAGGGCCTCAACGTGCAACAAATAGTTTCTCTAGTCTGATAACTTCAGTATGGAAGGAAGTAACACTGGGACCTTTTAAGTCTTTGTGCCAAATGCATAGATCTAAATGTCACTGTGTGTTCCTTTTTCAGCCCCCAACATCCCCAGAAAATGGAGATGAGCTCTGCCAGCTGTGAGAATTAGTTTCATCTGCAGCCAGCAGAGCTAAAACAGAATATAGGCATCTTCTTGCCCTGCTTTTCTGTCACATAGGAGGGAGAGTCACAGCTGAGCTCTGACATATCACACTAACTCCCTGTGGTATTGCAGGCAAGAGGGACAAGGACTCATAATCTGCTAGGACTCACTGCTCTGGGATCTGCTGCAGGGAAAGACAAACTGACCACTGTGTGATTTCCACCCTTGGCCGTTGTGACCACAGTGAGTGGTGATGAGTTGCTGAGACCACTTCCACAATGTGCCCCACAGGGCTGATTCTAATGCATGAAGTCAAGGGAGGGGCTGCAGAGGGAAGCATGTGCCACAACAGAGCTGGGAAGAGAAGCTGGAAGAAGTCTGTCACACAGGGCACATTCCTTCTTGGAGGGGCCATCTCCTAACGGCACAGAAGGGGGCTTGAGATTCCCACCTCCCAGTTCCTCGCTTTAACCACAAAGCTGCACTCCCATGCAGAGTTCAGAGTGGATCAAGGCTCCTAGCTCTTAGCGTTATCCTGGCTGCAGGTGTCTCAACAACCCTACCTTCATCCTCACCTGTTTCTCAAACCAGTACCGTTTCCGCAGCTCCCGCCAACCAGCGTCTGGAGAGAAGGCAAAGCTGAACGGCTTAGCTGCTGCCGGCTGGGTCCCCTCCTTCCACCGGGCATGACCAGGAACCAATCCACTTCCAGTGCCTCCAGCAGGCTGTGCCCCGAGACCCAGACAATGATCCTGAAGCCTTCCCAGGTCTGCAAAGGAGGCAGAAACATCACTTAAGCTGCAAACTGATGGTCACCTAGTTCACACCCCAGCCAAGGGAGTTCGTGCAAAAGGAAGCCATTCTTGTACTTGCAGAGCCCTGTGGGACACCCATCACCACCCTAAAACACTGTGCCATCTCAACAGCACCAGATCAGCATCTGCTTGCATACACAGAATGGACTCCACTGGCAATGTGTCTTTAAAAACCATCTGCTTAAATTAGCCATCAGCAGCTGCTAGCACTTCCTGTTGGCTGGGAAGTGCCACCGAGCATCTCCAGTGCTGGAGATAGCATGACTGTGTGCCTTGTTTCAAAAGCAAGCCTGGGAAGAGCACTCTCTCCCTGTTGTGGTTCAAGGAGCTCCCAGAGCTTTGCATGTCTTTTCAACCACCCAACACATCACTGCTAGAGCTCAGAACAGACAGCCATAATTGGTCTTTGTGAAGTTAATCCCATGGTTCAGCTCCCTTCTGTGCTAAGAAAGCCCAACTGACACAATGGCAGGACATCCATTTCAAAGTGGTTCTAGCTGGCAGAGTAGTGCAGCAAAATACGCATGTATGCATGTCCTTCAAATGCATGGCTAGGCAGTCACATAGCCCAGCCTTCCAAAAAAAATTTAAGAGTAAGCTTGCAAATATTTATTTTTATTTCACTGGTCTCCCACATGACACTGCAAGGATTTCAGCAGTCAGGCAAGTTTCTGATGGCTAGCAGACATAAGAGAGTGAGAGATTGGAGTGCACATGCTGTAGAGAATCAAGACACTGAGCAAGCATCTCGCTACCAAGGACTCTGGTGTCTGGAGACTAATTGTCTGCCCTTCTGGCAAAACATCACAGCCAGAAACAACCCAAGGTCAAAAAAGCACTCCTACCTTCTGGGAAACACTGGGATCTAGCTTCAAAATTTGCAGATGGAACCTATCATCTATTTATAATTCAGTTATCACCTCCTTTAAAATCCTGAGAAATCACAGCTGGCAGAAATGCCACGAAGTTTGCTCAATGAGTCACACCACTGTCACCATGAATATTCCGTACAGGAGAACTATTCTAAAAAAACTCCTTCAAAGAAGCATCTTTTGTATTAAGATTTCCAATGCTTCGTCTCTACTCAAATAACCAATTCTCAAAATTTCAACAAAAATCAAATAAGATGTTTCAAAAGACACATCCACATGAAGGTCACTTGCAAAAAAAAAAAAAAGTAAACAAAAGATCCTGGAGGGGAGGTGGGGAAGTAAGTTGTGAAATTGCATGAAAGGAGAGCAAACATCGGACAATTTGGGTTTGGAGGAAAATAATGTGTTTTGTCAGATTTCAAAACTCTCATTATAATTCCAGTGACAACACAACAGAGAACGGAAGTCTTCCTTACCTTTCTAGTTAAGACTAGTCTAGTTAAGACTTCACTTTCAGAGAACCCTCTCAAGGGTGTCCTAGAGTTTTATTTGGGGATATTTGTATTTCAGGAATTAAATATAAACAGAAGAAAATTCTCCTGCATGCACAAGATGAGCAGGGACAGCAGCAGACAATGCAGAATTCACTTAGGGCATCTGGATACTTTACATAAACAGCTAAAGTGAAGAAAAAAAAATGAGAAAAACCTCTAAAAGAAGCAACTTTGAAAGCCACTTTAAGCCAAATTAAACTATTACAGGGACTGTGGAAGCTAAAACAATTGGTCTGATTCAACCTACAGGTTATTTATGATAACAGATGCAATATGTTGGTTGTCTAATTAGTGTTATTAACAGTGGAAAGTATTTTATGGTACATTCAGTAATTCATGTAAATAATTTAACAGCTCTCATTAGTATTATCCCATTAGTATGCTTCACATGCTCGCCAATATAGACACTTGGACACTGAGTAATCGCACTTCCACCCTCTTGTTTTGCAAACCAGTAAAATGCAGGTTTCTACCAGTAATAAAGAATGCCTGTGGAAAGAAGCCCTCCCTAACGTTGCTGCACCATATTTTAAATGCACTTGAATAAGCTCTTTCACAGTGATCCATGAACATATAGATTGGGCAGTTCCTGAAACCAAGCTTTATATCACTTTACTTCACTGGCATCTGATCAGATTAGGTAGGTGTCTATTAGAGCAAAATCTGCCTAATAACTGTTCCTTTTTTGTTTGCTTTTGTTTTCTAAAACTAGCCACACAAAACTGAAGCTCCCCAGATAAACAAAGCAGAGTCAAACTGATCTGTAAACTCACTAAGTCTGCTTTTTTTGGCCTTGAATCAATCAATAGCCCTCCTTTTTGAGGAGACAAACATGGGAAAAAGCCTTTTTTATAGTTTTCAATTAATAAACAAAGGCATGATTCTACTGTAAAAAATATGCTAACAAGAAAAGAAAATAGTGTCCGTGACCCTTTACTCCAACAGGTAAGATTCCTGTGTGCATCCAAGTCATATTAGGTATTAATAAAGAGCCCACAGAGTGCACTGGGGGTCTGCGAGGCCCCCTTCTCTGTTTGCAGAGTCCCCACCCCACGTAGTTACACATCAGTGATCTTATTTTATATAGAATCACCGGCACAAAAAGTGAGTAATGGAAGACAAAAGCTCTTAATGTGATTCCATGTTGTTCTTCCCAGTTCACCTATAATTTCCCTCAAAAGTAAGTCACATACTTGTAGTCCCTTCATGCTCAACATTCCCAGAAGGGAAACTGCCTAGCTTCCAAGATCTCTCTCAGGCAGATGTGGACATCATAAAAAACACACAAGAAGGATCTGGGGACCGGCTACAGAACAGTAGACGGTGGTCCAGTCCATGCACAGGGAAGGGACATGGGTACAGACAGCTCTTGGGTACTAGAGAGGGACCACGCTCCTTCTTTGGGACAGAGACAAAACCTTCAGCTGTGACATGGTTCTAAGAAGATCCAGGAATTTAAGGCATCAGGCCCTCTGATTTCCAATTCATGTTTTTAGGACTACAGAAAGCATTTAGCTTCTCCACACCAACACCCCCTCCCCCTCATCAGCTCCTCAGCTATCCTGATGAGGCAGCATCAAGGCAGGCAAGAACCACAGTTGTGAGCAAGGCTTTACTGATGAAAAGCTACGCAGACAAACTATCTACCAGTTCAGAGGTGAAGCAGCATGCAAACCCATCCTGCTCCCCAGGGACCATCACTCAGAATCATGTTCCTGCATCAGCAGCTACCCAAACAGCTCTTGAGAGAGGCAAATCAGGAGAGTCAATGACTCATCAGAGTGAAAAGTCTGCCTGGTTCTCCATCTCTGTGCTGGAAACACTACAATGCTCAGACAGTTATTTTGATGGCATTAACATATTTTTAATTGGAGAAAACTCCAAGCCTCCAATCCTCTTGGGAAGGTTGCTGCACCGAGGCGTGAGAACTCTCAGAGCTTGGAAAACATTCAAGAGGCTCGCCTTGGCTCCACAAGTCCTACAATGAGATAGTCTCAAGAGCAGAAAGAGAATTGTGGCCACCCTCACTTGCACCAATATGGCTTGAAAAGACCACAGGTCTCTCGTTGCAACTCTCCATCCTGATCAAAGCAGCTTTAAAAAAAACATGACATCTTGGGATGAAGCAACATGTTGCCTCTGTGGCTGTTAGCAAGGGAGATCTGCCTCCTCCGCAGGAAAACAGAAGTTCCCAGCGTCGTCTGGACTGCCAGCAACAGTTTCCATTCAGGGTGCCCGTGCTTTATGGCTAGGCAGGCACGGAAACACACCTGCCGCCTGCGCATTGCTCCCCCGCAGGGCAGCGCAGCAGGCCACCCCCGCGACACAGCTGCAGAGCACTGATGCAAAGTGCAGGGCAGCGCAGCAGGCCACCCCCGCAGGCCACCCCTGCGACACAGCTGCAGAGCACTGATGCAAAGCACGGGGAACTACCAGCACGGACAAAACACATCGACCTGTCCAGCCCCTCCAGCGGTAACACCCTAAGCCGCAGCTAGCATCAAGTGCGGGACAAAAGGATAATGGAATGGGAACAGTGCAGGAGGAGCATGGAAGCAGCAATGCCCGAAGCAGACATTCAGTGCCCAGCACTGCCCATCTCCAGAGCACTCCTGTACCGAGCTCGGTACCTGGCAATTCCTTCCCCAGCTGCAGCAGCTGCCTGTCTGCCTGCTGTCAGGAGCATTGGCTTCTAGGTCATTTTTGTTCAAAAAGAAACATGTATCTTGGAACTGGACTGTCTGGATAAGGTCTGAGGCACGAGCTCCCAGACCACAAATGCAAGGGACCATTGAAGACCCTTCTGGTTCACCCTGGACGGAGTGAAAGGCTCTTTCCCCAGGGCTGCCACTGAACAGCACAGCCAGCACCTGTACAGCTTCTGAGGATGCCAGCGGGCAATGCCCATAAGCAACCCCGTAGGTGACAACAACTTGCTGTGTCCCAGACAGTGGCTTATTTATAAAACCTTGTTTGCAAGGCTGCAAAAGACAAAACCATTTCTCAAAGGATGGGAGGAGGAAAATAAGGTAGGTTTCTCTAACCTTTGGGATTAAACATATACCATAACAGTTGTGACTTTCAGCTGGCAGACAAACAGCTCTTTCTCCTCTTCCTCCCTCCCACCCCCATTAGTCTCTGAAATTAGTAACCAAGAGACTTTTTACGTTGCTTGTTTCAATGTCCTCACTTCAAGTCGCTGAAGCTGGTCAACCCAATCCCAAACTGGCATTTTTTTCAGCAATCCGAACGTCTTTGCAAATTATGAGTGAATCCACCTTATATTCAAGTTTTCTTTTGAACTGCTGTGAGTCCTAGTTATTTTTACTTCCTTTTAGTGTGTGCCTTTTATTTATTTATTTATTTATTTAAATAAAAACATTTTGACAGATAGAAAAACTGAGACACACAGCTGGTAACCAATTCACCCAACATAATGCCAAAAAA